AACAAAAAACCACAGTGCTATTTAGTATACTAGCAAAATAAAGGAGGACACTGTATGATTATTTCAATATCTGAAGGAAAAGGATTTGACAAAATCCAGTACTCATTTATAGGAAAAAAACGTTTCTCAGTAAGTTAGGAATACAAGGGAACTTCCTTAACCTAATATAGGACATTTTTTGAAAACAAACAAACAAACAAACAAAAGCCCTTTAGTTAATATTATACTTCATAGTGAAAGATTGTTTTTCCCTATGATTGAGAACAAGACAAGGATGTTTACTCATTACTTCTACTACTCAGCATTGCACTGGAGTTTCCAACCAGTGCAATAAGGCAAGAAAAAGAAAGAGTAGACATAAAGATTGTACAAAAAGAAGTAAAACTTTTTATTCACATATGATGTTTGTATATATGGACTATGCTAAGAAATCTACAAAAATGGTACAGGAGCTAATAAGTGAGCATAGCAAGATCATTTTACTCAGAATCAATACTTAAAAATCAATTGTATTATCTATATTTTAGCAGCAAAAATCAGAAATTAAAATAAAAATGCCATTTACAAAAGAAATAAAAATCACAAAATATGGATACATTTAACAAAATTTAAGCAACACCAGAGTATAAATTAAAATTTAAAGTTAAAGAAGACCTAAGTAAATGGGAAGATATTGCAAATTCACAGACTGAAAGATGAAATATTATTAAGATGTTATTTCTTCCCAAATCAAACTATAGATTCAGTACAACCTACAGATTGAACTGCAAGACTGCTTTATATTAGTAACATACACTTGTATATAAACTGACTTAATTCTTTTTAATGGTTACATATAGTTCTGAATATGAATGAGATATTTATCTAATCAATCCATCAAAAGCAGTCAGGGGACCAGCAGTTGGCATAATGGCTATGTCACTGGACTCCCACATAGTTTGAGTCCCAGACCCGGTGGCTTAAACTCATGCTGGGCATGTGTGCATGTGTGCCTAAGATCCGGAGAGGAGAATGGAGAAGGGATTGCGACATGGCCATACTCCCAGGGGGTGATTTCTCACTTTCTGTCTGTCTGTCTCTGACTTTCTAGCAAGTGCATGCGCCCTATAGCAAAAACCTCTCAAAAAAAAAAAAAAAAAAAAAAAAAAAAAAAAAAAAACCCAAAAAAAAAAAAAAAAAAAAAAAAAAAAGAACAAAAAGAACTCCGATTTCGTAAATATTTTCTGTTAGTAAATCTATCTCTATCTTTACACCTATTTCTGCCTTACTCTATTCCAGATCACAGTATCTAACTTGTATTACTGGATTCCAGAACATTCTTATGCACAATGGTTCATGTGATTGCACTAAATTATCCACTTTCCGGTCTTTTTATGGGATCATGCCAACTCTGGGGTTTCCCCATGGTAGAGGTACATGGGCCAATTATACATAGAGGTTTTGTTCCTCTTAGCTTTCCTAGCTGGGTTCAAAACTCTCTTTATAGCTCTTTTATTTGTTCTTCCTTTTTCCATGCTAGGCTGACCAAACTGATTCCCCAATTTCTGGGCTGAGACTAACACCCTGGTCATTGGCTTTATGACATCACTCACTTTATGGCATCACTGGCTTTATGACATCACTGTTTTGTTTGTTTGTTTTTTTGTTTTATTTCATAAGGTCAGGCTTTTGTTTGTTTTTTTGTTTTATTTCATAAGGTCAGGCTTGAAGTCCCAACCCTAATCACTTCTAGTGTTTGTATAGGACTTGTCTTCCCAGCTCTCTCCCTGCAAGGATAATCTAGTATTTTTCCATGGATACAACTGTTTTTTATAGCTGGGCTACCTGGTACTTCATACAAAGGACAGGAAGTTGCTACTGCAGTTAAATGATATTCCACTGAATGTTTAGATTATACATCCAATTATTCTATCTTAAAAATAGAAGTTTCCCAGCAGGACTGTTGAGACATTATTGTTCAAACACTCATTATTCAGCTGTTCAAATATGAACTAGGTGAGTGCTTAACATTCTGCTAATTGGTGAGGGAGAATGCAGACAACCAAAACAGAGGTGACCAGATGAATGAGACAAAGTATAACTGTTACAGGCGTATCCTTGAACCTTTTACCAGATCTACCTTTCTTAGATTTCTTCCCACTTACAATCATCCATGCTCTATTAAATGAGCTTTCTAAAAACCAAAGCCCATTTATTTTCACAGAAAAAAAAGTATAAACTCATTAGTACAACATTCAAGGTTCTTTGTAATCTGGCCATCAATTTCCATTCAATCCTCAATCCTTTCTACTGTCTCTCAAATATCTTATGTTTTACACATAGCAGACTGCTCACTGGTCCTATGAGGCACCAGACCCTTTCCATTCTCTGTTCCCTCATCTAGAATGCCTTTCCCCCCTTCTTTACCTACCAAACTCCCTATCAACTTCAAAGATTCAGTTCAAAGTCTGGTTGAAACATTTTCCCCATGCTCCATATTTCCTGGATTTGAGCATATTGTTCTGTCTTTAGTAGATAGTGAGATTTTTTGAGGGCCATGAGTTTACTTTGTTATCTTTTGTATCTCCAAATCCAGGTTCGAATAGGTCCTGGCAAATAGTAGAGGCCCAATGAATATTTGTTAAGTGAATGAAGGAATACGGGGAGATGAAGGAAGAGTTTCTAGGGGGTTGATATATTTAGGTAAAGGGTTTTGAAAGGCACAGAGCTTGAAGTGGCACCTAAGACAATGGAGAAGTGGAGGAAGGGCATTTGGAAGAGGAAGATTATTATCCTAGGAGATGGGAGAACAAAAGCCCAAGACTAAGAGCAAAGACAGTGAGGAGATTAGCCAGGCTGAAGCTGACTGGCACAATTTCTTTACCTTTTACTTGCTATATTTCTCAATTATATTTTCAGCTCCTTGAGGATAGGTATTTTGTGTGCTCCTTTGTATCCTCTTTATAGTTGATACATATTTCCACAGTCACTGTTCTTACTCTCTTATGGTTCTTACTCTATTCTATATTATTACTACCTGAATTTGTAAATCTCCCCAGCACTTACCCTCCATCCCCAGCTGCTTGAGGCAGGGAATGAAGTCTTACTGTCTCTATCTTTCAAGACATCTAGTATAGTTTCTGGCACACAGTGGCTACTCAGCAAATATGTTTTGATTTACCATTTCTTAATCAGATATCAAAGGACCACAGGTATATTTGTGTGCAACTGCATATTGTAACACAAAACTTATATACACCTTTATGCAGTGTAGTCTATTTTTGGCTATTTTCATTAAAATGTTATCTTATTGTACCTGGAAGTCTGTCATTTCAATTTTCTTCTTTGTTCCTTCTTGGATGACTCACATCTCTTATACCAGAAGGATATGACAGAAGGGATTCACAAAGGGTTTGGACAAATTTATGAATGACACAGACATAAATATCTGTGTATAAGAAGTGATGAGCATATAAAGGGGAAGGAGAGAGCTTGCATTTCAGAAGTACCTGCAAGGTGTCAGGAACTGTCTGTTAGGCAGTTGAGATACTTTATATTTCATTTAACTTGCAGGATATTTCAGTATGAAGACAGAACATTTCAATCTACAAGGCCATGCCCACATCCTAGCCTCTCCAGGTATAAGAGCAAGTATTCATCTTTATTAAAATTTTATCAATCTTTTAACACAGATCTTTAGATTGGCTTTTGCTTCTTAGGAACAGAATATTTACTCTCAGTTCAGGATTCTACAGTTTAAAAATCCTTCCTAATATAGCTTGATCAGTTTTTCAAGTTGCAGTGCTTTAAATTATGATGCAATCTGAAATATTCCACAGCAATAACAGTAATTACATTTGTTCACAGCACCTATGACTATATTTTATTAAGCTCCCAAATACTGAATAAAGGTAAGTCAAGAAAAAGATTCCTATTTAACTCAGATGCCAGCAAATTGTCTCAAAGTATAGCATGCCTTCTATTTGTATTCTAGAAATACTGAATGGATTTTCTGAAATATATATTATAACCTCATCTGTGGTTAGGTGAAATTGGAAAGAAATTAGCTTAAGTTGTTTCTAATTTTAAAAAAATAATATTAACTTTAAAAAGCATAATGTTTGGGGCCAGCAGGTGGCTTGGTGGTTAAGGGTGCTGGACTCCCACATGGCCGACCATGGTTCAAGTCCCAGACCTGGTGGCTTGCTTTCTTACTTTCCCTCTCTCTCTCACACATACTCTGTCCCTCTCTGGTCACATAAATAAATAAAGTTAAATAAAAATAATTCTTAAAAAAAAAAGCATAAATGCTCCTAAGTAAATAGCTTCTGTATCTGGCAGAAATCATAACATTATAAATAAAGCACCATCACTAATGCTTGGGAAAAAGCTTGAAAAGGTGGGTCTGCATAAACTGGCTTGTTATTTCAAGTCTCCCAGTCTAGGGTATACTAGCTATATATCATGCTTTGTGATAACATGTTTCCTGCCAGGGGTTGGGGTAGGTAAGAATAGAAGGGGTACATCTTTGGTTTAGGGATTATCAGCACACTCATACATCCCAGACAGCATTTTATTAACTTGTTTTGAAAACTAGAACAGACATTTTTTCTTTGGACAATGTAAAGCCCACCTTGTATAACTAAAGAAAATAGTAAAGGTTCAAATGAAGTGTTTAACATTTTGGAGAGTCCTGCCCAAACCTCTGTGTGCCACTAATTGCTAGAAAAACACCAGAGCTGTCTTTGCAATGATAATGTGTTTCTTAAATTTTACACTAGTCAAAGAAAATTGAGAGACCAGGACTATGCCAAAGAACATGTGTTACATACCTATAGGACTTCTAAAAAATAGATGAGAACTCAGCTTACACATTTTAAAAATAGCCCCTTCCTTTTTGAGGATAGGGGATGAAAACATGCACATATTCCAAAGATTTCTTTGTGTGAACAGGTGACCCCTTCCCACAGTCTCTGTAATTAATTGAGAAATTAAAGTTGGTTTGGCTTTTAGATCTCTTGTAAAAAAAGGCAGAAGGTCTTGGATATTTTGAAACAAGAGTCCACTATTCTGCCAAGACAGTGTGTTATTGTTATTGAAGTGTCTCTCAACAAAACGGTATTGAGTGGTGAGGACGTGATTTTGATTAGGTGGAATGACTCAGCTCTTCCCCTTAAAGAAGAGGGGACTTGTCAGAGCCTTACTTACCTCATGATCTGGGATCTCAGAGGATAGTGTTTTCCCTAGGATGACCCCGGTCAAGTATGTCCAGCATCGAGCTGTGTTGGCAAGGTTATAGCCTCCTGTCTCCATCAAGAATTGTGAAGTTAGGAAAGAATAGTCACAAAACAGCAGGGGAGG